TTCCCGTCAGGTCCCGCTCACTAGAAGAATATTGTGCAGACAGCAGCAGCCAAACACATCTCCTGACTCTTCTCAGCCACTTGTACCATCAATAGTAGGCAGCAATGGATAAAGGGATACTATAGCTCCCTCTGCCTCCCCCAATTTACACCACTACCAGTAAATAAAAGGTTTTGCCTCCCCCACTTCACACCCCTCCCAGTAAATAAAGAGTAAAAAAAAACCTGTATTTACTTATCTGATCCCAGCACTGATGCCCCCCAGAGGAGGGGCAATGTTAAACAGACATCCACTTTTTAACATTGCAGCACTAAGTGCAAAAGGGACACTGTACCCAGACCACTTCCATGAGCTGAAGTGGTCCCAGTGCCTATAGTGTCCCTTTAATATATAAAGAATGGTAATGTTACGTTATTGGCAAATTAGGAAAATAAAACACTGCACAGAAGTCCACATCACTAAATTGTATATTTTTAATGTGGAGCACTGTGTTTTATTGCTTCCACCTAATCTCTAACTATCCTGCTATCACACCCACTGGCCACTAGTTTCTGTTTTCTACCTATTCCCCTATCACTCTCACTAATACCTCCCACTCTCACCCATCTCCCCTGTCTCTTCATATCACTTCTCTCATCACTGCAATCCATCTGTTCCACACTCCCATCTCTTTCAGCCATCTTTCTCACTCCATCCTTATATCACTCTAAACCCATCCCTCACTATCTCCCATTCCTTTCATCACTCCCATCCATCTGCTCACGCCATACTCCTATCACTCCCACCAAGCCATCCCTTCCTTTCACCTCATACTCATATCATCCTATTTCTCCCTCTCACCTCATCTTATTATAACTCCCACTCATTCCTTACTCTCATCCCATCCTACACCCATCACTTCAATTCATACTTTCCTCTCTATCCCATCTCCCTATCTTCCCCATCAATCTCTCTATATATACAATCCTCCTATCACTCACACCCATCACTTCCTCTCACAACATCCTCTCTCCCCTATCACTTTATTTCTCTCGTCCATCTTCCTGCCACTCCAAACCTATCCCTCTCTTTTAATCCTCCTATCACTCCCAGTCTTTCTTTCTCTTTCCCGTGCTATCACTGCCACTTATTCCTCGCCACAAACTCCTATAACTCCCAACCATCCATTCCATCCCCCACCTATTACTCCCACACCTACCGTTCTCTTCTCAAAGTCATCCCAGCTTCCCCACTCACTCACGGCTCATTCATCTTCCCCCACAGCCACCACAACCACCCACTCACTGCAACGCACATCACACGCAGTAATACTATTCCGTCACAGGTGCCTATACATATCACTCATAGCTACAAACATATAATGCAATGCCACACACATCACTCACAGCTATCAAACCCCACACCTACACAATACACAGCCACGTAGTCATGTTTGCATTGTTTCCCAGTAATAATTGCCTATTACCACCCTTTTGCTTTGTCCCAATTGTTTTCCTGAATTGTTTCCTTTAACACAATTCATCTGAACCAAAACACCATATGAACAAAATTCAGCCTACCCAAACTAAATATTTTTTGGAGAAATCAATTCAGACAAAGCAAATATTTTTACTGTCTAGTAAACTAAACTTGTTTCATGTATTAGTTGCATCACGTATAATTCAAAGGGAGCAGAGATGCTGGTGGTGAGGGTCAAGAATGCCTTCAGCGTAGGTTTTCTGAAGGATGGTAGCATCAAAATAAGTCTAATTTCAGGTAAATACGTGTCTTTTTTTTTTTTAATTGTTAGCTAGTATGTTGGCACCTTTAAGGTTCCAGATTCACCAGGTGATTTTGATAGAAGCATGAACAAGAGGGTACATAAATTTAAGCTTAAAACTTTATTTCTGAACACTCTACTGCCAATCTGGACCATACCAGGTTAGTACTTTTTGTTTCCATTAAAAGGAAGACCACTTCTAGGTGACATGTCCCATTTTAACCACGCTGTTCTGCAGGGGTGTAAAGGCCTCAAGTGGTCTAGTTCTAGTCGAGTCAAATATAGTTAGTCAACAAAATTAACACTGGTGCTATTTGCTTCAGCTCTTGACTCCCTCTACACTAGAAATATGCTTGGTCTACCACATTTTGGCTGGGCTGGCATTGCTCTTAGATACGTTTACTTCACAACAGCATTCACAGTTGATAGACCGATGAGAAATTTAAAAAACTGACTTGTGGCTAAGGTGTCATCCTGTAACAGGGCCTTGTTTGAAGTCACTGAGCTCTTCAGTACAACCTATCGTACTGTTAATGAGATTTCATGACTATGTGATAGATTTTATGTACCTGTAAACAATGAGTGTGGATGAAACACCTTAACTCAATTATTCAAAGGGATATCCACATCATTTTGGTCACATAATGTATAAAATTAAGAATGCAATGTCTGAAAAATGTATTGTTTTATGAAATCATGACACACGGATGAATAAAAAAGTAGGAATATATTGTACTCTTGAGAATCTTTAAAGCAATCCTTGTAGTTGCTTATTTATTGTGAAAAACATAATAAAAATACACCAATACTGCAAGGTAGATGCCTTGAAGTATTGTATGAATGGAAAATTAACCCTTCCTATGTCAAAAGAAAAACTAAAATAATCTAAATAAAAAAAGGCTTAGGAGACATACAGAAAGCATTTATTGCCACTTTCTTTCAATACTGGTACTGTCTATCCACTTAATCTCAGCATCGTATTATATGCCCTACTATTGATTTAAAAATCTAATACGTACAATTATATACTGCTATTTCAAATTTAATAATAGGGTTTAACAGGAACTGTTGCACACTTTTTCTAAACTTGATCTCAGTATCATATTATGTACGCTACTATTTAGTTTCTTATAATGAAAAGCAGATGCTGGAAAAAATACTATTATTTAGAATATAAATAATCCTAAAGATTGATGATCTAACAAAAAATGGGTGCTGTTGCAAACTACAGCTACAAAGTAAAATATTATGGAGAAAAATAATTTTAAATCAGGTTTTAAAATTGTTTTAAATCAGGTTTTATTGAAATCTTACATGTGCAGAACCATCCCACGCAGGGGAGGATATTTTCCAGCGCTGTTCAATGAAAGTATATAATGAAGAACATAAAACATACCAAATGCAAAAATGTCATAATAGACATGTCGAAGCCCCTGAAATTGGTCATGGATAGTACAATGGCATATTGGAATTCCCACCCAAGCTCACCATTTTCATATATAGTTCCCCCTTACAATTCTCTCGAACCTCTCCCTCCCGTCTCCCCCAACCCCAGCCCTTCCTCATGCACTCGGTTTCTGGATCACCTGTCGCCCTCCCTCCCCGAAGTCCCCACCAGAAGTCCCCACCAGGGCACTAAGAGCTCCCCCTGGTTTTTCATTGTGGTTATCTGGACTGTAACCACATCTTAGATGGGTGGGTCCAATCTACATTTTTTTTTTAAAGCGTCATAAAAAAAATAAAATAAATAAAGGGTTACCTCCGACACAGGTTTTAAAATGGATGGACACAGAAGTTTGCTTTGCTATTTCTGATTTAATACTCTGCTATCCTTGTTTTAAGTTTTTTTAATAGTTTGTCCCACATAATGTTTCAAACATCAACCGCAGGTTAGAAGATAAATGACCCCATCAGTGAAACAATTAGTAAAATTCTGGATTTCGTGCACTCTTTTTTAGTTGTAGTCGATATAAAGTGCTTACCTTTGTTCATCAATTTACATACATTAGATCTTGTCGTCATACCACGTTTTTGCATATTTCTACAGCTAAGCCAAGTGTTATTATATAGGGGATTGTCTCTCATGAAGGGACTAGGGGACAGATAGGATCAAAGAGATTTGGCTATTTTTGCACTACTTAATAGTTTAGAGTTATAGATATATTTTTGAAAATGATCAAAACTCAAAATCGGAAGATATTTAGTAATAAATAATATTACCCAATTTGTTGAACTGATTACTACATTGTGTGTAAAAAATAATGGGGATCTCTCTTTAGATTTTGCTATCTCATATCCTCTATTTATAAGATGACTGGAACACCCTATTTTCATTAAATTAATGGTTAAATCCCTGCTTTGTTGTTCATAAATTTCTGTTGTGGAGCAATTTCTTCTTAAAGTAATGAATTCACCCATAGAAATAATTCTAAACGTATGTGGTGGATGGCAACTGTCTGCCCTTAGAATCATATTTCCTGCATATTGATTCGATGATTAACTCTATCTCCTGTTAAGTGTAGGTATAGCAAATCAATAGACTCATCTCCAATTGTTTTAGAGAAGAGTTAATTCCAATATTCATTATTTATTTGTTTGGCAAATTCAAGACATTGTTTTTCGTCTCCATCCCAAATAATGAGCAGATCATCAATATATCAGCAATACCAAATAATATGAGAACGATGGGGATAAAAATATGGCACGATGATATATGATATAAAGCCCTGGAATCCAGCTTTTCATTTCAGTTTCATATATACTTGTTTGGTATTATTATACTTTTCAAATGATTAAAATATACATTAGTTTCTTCCCGCCCCTGGAAAATATTTTTAATGCATAATCAGTATTTAGATATTTTGGTGTGATTTAGGTAGAAAGTTTTAAGCATCAAATAGTTTGCAGTACTTTGTATTATCCTTTATTACAGATTTTTTTATTTTTATTATTTTATTATTATTTCTAATAATTACGTAGGTGTCCTTCCTCCACAGTTTTTTATATACATAGTCTTAGGCAGTTAACTTTGTCATTAGAGTCAACTTCTCTGTACAGAAAACAGTCTTGTGTGTGACACAGCTTGTACAAGAAGTGGTGAAGTGTTTCTGGTAACAAAAAGTGGAAGAATCATTACAGCATCAGACCAGAAAAAAAAAAAGAAGACGAAAGCAGACAGACAACTGCAATTACTTGTGACCACGAAGATCTCAATACATGAAAATAAAATCTGTCTTGTAGGATGCAGAAAAAACGCTTTTGGGTTGGACACATTATGAGGACCGAGATCAATTTGTTCTGTTTACTTCTTGTACTAAGTAAGATTTCTTTAATTCCTCTTTATTGTTAGTATTTAACAAATTTACAAGTTGTTTAAACTTTTTTTTTGTAACAAGCCTATGATCTTGTTTTAGAAATATGTAATGTTCATGCTGTTAAAATTCTGCTGTATGTCTCTCTGAAATTTCTGAATTTTAAGCATATTTTTGCTCGGATACATGTGAGTGAACTATACAGTTATACTTTGCATTGAAGAGGATGTTTAACAAGGGTGAAGCTTGCGAATGAGAAGATAATATTCTACATTGACTTTTTTTGTAGTTAGTAATACACTGAACCTTGGATTTGAGAAGAATTTTGAAAAATCCCAGACACAAAAAGTTGTGTTAGAAATATAGCCGTGTTTAAAAAACAAATGCTTGCATTTTATTCATTTTAAAATGCGCTATTGTTTTGTCAAACAAGTTACGGATTTCGTGAATAAACCCAACGTATTCAACAAGAATGTAATTTCTGTTGTGTTTTTATTGAATATAGAATAAAAGTGATTAATGTCTATCTGTATATGTTGATAAAGTGATCACAGCTTTGTTTACTGCAGAATATACAATTGTGGAAATCCATCTCCCAAGAAACACCATCCCCCAAAAAATCACTTAAGGGAAAAGTTAATTCTTAGAATCTAGGGTAGCATTATCAAAGTCTGGTCTTCAGAGTTTAAACAAGCTGATTAAATGATGGCAAGGACATATATGCACTAAAGAAAACACACTACATGTTGTATGTTTCATTTTAGAAGGGTTACCAGTTATTGTATTGGTAAGGAATTAGCTTTTACCCTCTGAGATATAGATATTTAAAAAAGCATAATGTAGACTAATGAGGAAGGTTAACTCCTAAATTTAGGAAGAAAAAACAACCCCACAGGAAATTACCTCTAATTTATATTCAATATAGGGTAATAAACTTTATTGGAAAAAAGCACAACCTAAACAAAAAAAGGTGCCTGTGCAACCCAAGTGTAATATGAAGAGAATGTATATTAAGTGTTAGTTTAAAAGACTGCTAGATCTGTACCACAGACAATCACGCTACAGATATAAACTCCACACGCTACATATGTAGCAATTAGATAAAATGGTTGAACCAATTGGACACAAAATAGCAAGTCGCTTTCTGTAGTGTCCTATGGATAAAGTGAAATATATACAAGGGTATATCTATGTTAAACATATGAGACAGGAGATAATTATATAAAGAGTCTGTTTCCCAATGGTAGGAGATAACCACTAAACTTGAAAGCTGAATAGGGGGGAAAAGGAAGCTTATTTGGCTGAAAGTGATATGAATGTGTAGTCCATATGGCTTTAGAAAGTGAAATATATGGGGGTAGGGATATATAAAGAATACACAGACAGTGTCAGATATAGAATCTGAGGCTGTCTAAACCACCCCCCTGCTGCTGCAAGGTATTAAAGGTATACAGGCAACGGATGTAAAGAGAACAGGAGGGGGAGCACACATACAAGTTGAAGGTACACAGACAAATGTCTAATCCTCAGCTGATGCCGGAGCCGGAGTGATATCATATTCCGGCTCCGGCATCACTGCGGTGCACGTGAGGGAGTTGGGCAGAGAGAGCTCAGGGGAGAATGCTCCCTCGTGCACCCGTCCGCCCGCAAACTGACACCACTGCCAGCCTCGGGGGGCCCTGAGGTGGCCAGCTCCTGGGCTCCCCAGGAGAAGAGTTTGGCAAAATGTGGCCTCACTGGCGTACATACCCAGGTCTCAGGGCGGCCGGGCCCCCTGGTGGTCCGCGCCCGGTTGCAGCTGCGACCCCTGCAACCGAGGTATGTACGCCAGTGGGCTCTGCTTTTACATTCACCTGTGACTGCGATATTACTATGATATCTGATAGACTTTGAATTCTAGATTTTAGGGGAGCTGCCTCGAAGCAGCAGGGGGGTGGCTGGGCTAGCATTAATAGAGAATTAGACATTTGTCTGTGTACTTTCAACTTGTATGTGTGCTCCCCCTCCTGTTCTCTTTACATCCGTTGCCTGAATACCTTTAGTACCTTCTGAATAGGAGGGCTGCTTTGAATCAGCAGGGGGGTGGTTTCTGCAGCCTCAGATTCTATATCGGACACTGTCTGTCGCCTTCTTTATATATCCCCACCCCCATATATTTCACTTTCTAAAGCCATATGGGCTTCAGATATGTGGACTACACATTCATATCACTTTCAGCCAAATAAGCTTCCTTTTTTTCCCCCCTATTCAGATTTCAAGTCTACTGGTTATCTACTACCAATGGGAAACTTTATATCATGGATGTCTAACCTTTTGACTTCCCTGGGTCACATTGAGAGCAGAGGAATTGTCTTGGGCCACACACCAAATATATAATATAGATTATAGATAATGTATACAAGTAACATATCTTTAAAAGCCCTTTTCTTAATTTTGATATTTCAATTGTTTAGTAGATAACTCCCTTATTTGTTATCCTTGTGTGGGATTGGCATATTTAAGGATATCAAATTAGGGAGCCATCCATTAAACACATACACATTTGTATACATATGCACACATAACCACAGATACACACACACACACAATCACAGACCTATACAAACAGTCGCAAATCTATGCACACATAATCACCGACAAACACATACAATCACAGAACTTCACGCACAATCACAAATACACACACGCACACACAGGCACACACAATCACAGACCCACACATACAATCACATACCTATACACAAAGTAACATACATACACACAATCACAAATGTACACACACAGACACACACACTATCACTGACCCACACACACAATAACAGACCCACACAAACAATCACATACATACACAAACAATCAATCAATCAATCAATCAATCACAGACCCCCACACACATACACAGATATACCCACACACAATCACAGATCTATAACACAATCACATACATACATACACCCACAACCAGACCTACACACAATCACATACTTATATGCACAATCACATACATACATACACACACAAAATCACATATCCACACACACACCCATACACACAATCGCATACATTGAAACACATAATCACAGACACACACACATAATCACATATATACACACACAATCAAAGGCCCACACACATAATCACAAACTTACACACACAATCACAGACATGTCCTCAGATCCCTCCCTCTCCCCCCTCCGCAAACACAGCCAATCACTGACAAAACATACTCACAAATTACATGCACACACATTTAATACTAAAGAAGTCTACCCAGTCTCCCTAACTTGCTCTGGGAGCACTGGAGTGGATCATCTTCCTGGTGGCCAATGGTTGCTGCTGGGCTGGAGTCTGGGACCTCTGTGCTCTTCATGCATAGGTCTCTCGCGCGCCCAGCAGTGATGCCGGGATGATGTCATATCACAGCTCACTTCCGGGCAGTGAGGAAGCAGTGCAGGGGGAGCACAGAATGTAATGGGCTCAGAGACGTACCTAGAGCTTTTGGCACGAATTCAAATGTAAAAAAACACCCACTATTTTTTGTAAATTTTTTTTTAATGTTTTCTAATTTATTTTTTAAATGCCTACTTCAAAGGTAGTAGGCAATAAAAAACACATTCTAAACCAACCCTCTACAAAACACCTACCCCCTTTACAAAAACCTGTGCCCAGTCTCCCCTTCTACAAATCCCCTGCCCCTCCACAAAAACCCTACCCCATTCCTATACAAAATCTCCTGCCCAGTCCCCCCTCTACAAAATCCATGCCTAGTCCCCCCTCTACAAAAAACACTGCCCAGTCCCCCTTCTTCAAAATCCCCTGGCCAATCCCACTTCTACAACCCCCCCACCTTCTACAAAACCCCTGCCCAGTCCCCTTCTACAAATCCCGTGCCCCCACCAAAACTCTGCCCCCTCCCTCTATAAAATCCCCTGCCCAGTCCCCCCCTCTACAAAATCACCTGCCCAGTCCCCACTCTACAAAAAATTCCTGCTGCGGTCTACAGTAATCCCTGCCCACCCCCTCTACAATAAACCCTGCTCACCCCCTCTACAAGACCTTTGTCCACCCGCTACACACCCCTTGCACCCCCTTCACAAAAACTCCTGCCCCTTCAGTTCCCAGAGGGGACTGAAACGTTGTTCTTATGATCAAATTTTAATGGATTTGAAATAAAGCTTGAACCTTTTAAATTATTACAAGACCATGAGTGCTGATCACTATTCCAAATGTCTATATATATATATATATATATATATAAATTGATTTTCTCACCCCTCCTGGGTGGTATGTTTATTCCTCATTCTCGGGTCCTCTACCAGAGGCCTGAGAGTTTGAGGGTTCTGCGCAGTATCTTCTGGACAGCGATCTAAGATGTCCCACTTGGAATCTGTTGAAGCCACTCCCCCAACTTGGGAGTCAGAGCCACGAGTGCACCTATCACAACTGGGACTACTACTGCCTTCACTTTCCACATCCTTTCTAGTTCTTCTTTCAGTCCTGATAATTTGCCCACCTTCTCATGTTCCTTCTTCCTGATGTTATAGTCACTGGGTATTGCCACATCCACCACACCCACAGATCAAATCATGCGTGGACACGGAGAGAGAGAACCTAGATCTGCTTACATATATATATATATATATAGTGTAGATTGGATTAGCCATATCAGTCAAGTAGACAAGATGCCATGATACCAGAGTATTGCAGTATGCAATGATACCTTTTTTATTGGACTGATATAATATTTCAAAGACAAGCTTTCAGGAGTTTTCCTCTCTTTCTCAGGTCTGAAGCAATACTGATCAATCTGTTAGAGTTTAACACTTAAAACTACTGATGTTAGAGGACGGAAGGTAGGGGGGTGACTGGGCTGTCATAAATAGCAGAAGATGTGCCTGAAAGTGAAAGGTGCAGGTTGGCTGAGAATAGCCAGAAAACGTAAATAAGTTGGTTAAAAACAAAAAGACAAAACAAAAGCAAAACAGAAGAGCAGGGCATGCAAATATATATCTGCATATATGTATGTATATAAATTCATCCAATTAAGGTGAAGAGATAATTTTGAAAAATAACTATATCAGACATTAAGATGTGTGTTTATAAAATGTTTTGGTAGTGTGTGAGAAAGCCAGAGTCTACATTAACCCCTTAACACCGTTATGGTGTTCTATGCCGTCCCCATTTAAATGGGCTTTAAAGCCGTTGCGGCTGCATAGAACGCCGTAATGGCTTGCAACCCCAGGAGGTAAAATTTACTTACCTCCGCCGTGATCCTCTTTGGGAGGACTGCCACACAGCCCAGGCAGCCCTCCCACGGCAAATCAGGCCCCCAGGGGCCATGTGATCGCTCTCAAAGAGCAATCACATGGCTCCCTATAGCTGGCTGTGGATCTTCCTGCAGGGGGACTGTTTGAGCTGGTGGGAAGAATAATACAAAAATTATTAAATAATTTTTAAAATAAATTAAAAGTATTTATATATATATATATATATATATATATATACACATAATATCTAAATATATTATATATATATATATATATATATATAAACAAAAATAAAAATCAAAATGCACTCACAGGTCTTCTGGTTAATAGGAAAACTGGTGCTTTAATAAATCATCTGTGATGTACAAAGAAATCAATCGACGTTTCGACCCTGCCGGGTCTTTTTCAAGATCATATAATACATGACAAGAAAGTGTTTATATATAAAATACAAATCTAAGTGAATAAACACTTACCCAATGGTGAAGTGAGGAGGAGTGTGTTTGCCCGTTAGAACCCGGAAGTGAATGGAAGCTGCACACAACGTCACGTGATCAGGGCGTCGTACAGGGAAAAAGTGGTTGCCAAGGCAACAATACACAAAGTAGAAAAATCCTATGCCGGGAGCAAGTAGATCAGTGTGAAGCAAGGAGTGGGTAGTGTAAACTACCAATACAAAGTGAATGATACAAAAGTCAGGAGAATCGAGTACATAAGCAGCAAGTGCTGTGCAGTGTCATGTGAAAACCTGAGTGATAAACGTGTGAGCACACAACAAACAAATATAATAAACTGTGAAAAACGAATACCTGACATCATAAATAAAATCAAAGCAAAAGAGCAGAGTATATACAAAAATACTGTATACAAAATTATACAATTATCTTATACATGATATCCACTAAAGTGTATAGTATGCAAAATTAGTAATATAATAATTTGATGCTAGACAATATGACATAAACACCAAGTGACACACGGGCTTTTTATAATGAAAAAACATCTAAACTAAATATATAGCTTAGAAACCTACGAAGGAGGCTGAGGAAACCTGAAGAATAAAGAATCAGCTGCATCTTAAGTAATCCAAAAAACATGACAACGGAGAAATAGATACAGAGACCAGAGCTAATGAAAAAGATCCTTAAATAAACAAAGCCAATAAATTGATCTAACGTGCTCTCACAAATGGGACTGTAGCATATGATTTCTCCATACATATAAACCAAAAAAAAAAAAAAACAATTGTCAATCTAATGCTAAAGAGAGCTACAAGTTAATCATAGAAGGGTGCTGGACAAGTCTCTAAATATAGATGGTCTAAAAATAATATCTAACTTGTAGTATCAAGACAATAGCACAATGAAAAATAATTGCCAAGTGCGAAAAATAAAAATTACAGTAAATAATAATAAAAGTAGAAATTCTTAGATAAATGGTATCTAACATGCAGTGTCAAGCTGATAGCATATGAGGACTCTCTACATACCAAGTGTTAAAATAGGATAAAGCACCAGCAATAATCAATAGACAACAAATCTAATAATCTAAGTCAAATGGAAATATTGCAAAAATGTGGAAAATATATGTAATAAACAATAATGTGGGTAGCGGATGATTGCTACCTACAAAAAAATAAAAAAAATAAAAAATAAAAGGTAGTTGCAGAATGGAACTGGTGCATACTGAAGTAGTAGGACAGAATATATCTGAACAACAACAAATAATTAACAAGGGAATAGAATACAAATAACTGGAAGTAATGAAAAATAATCATAAAAAAGATACATGAAATCTACAGGTATCTTAATGGAGAAAACAAAAAATAAAAAATAAAAAATAACTGACTAATGGAACTATCTGAAGCTATGCTGGTGACAAAAAATGTAAAGATGTATATAATAATGCAATAATAGGCATCACCACAGGGTAGATATACTATATATGGACATAAAATAAGAGTACACGAATAATCATAAGAACATGGAATAAATGATGTTTTCATTTAAACCTTTGGGTGTGACCGTGTCCAAGTGGTGGATCCAGTAAGCTTCTCTCTGTAGAAGCATTTTGGATCGGTCGCCACCCCGAACTAGAGGAGGTACATGATCAATGCCTATAAATTTGAGCGTAGGACCTTGGGTTGTGTACTTTTATAAATGGTATGCCATTATGGGGGTAATTCTCATTCCTGGGCTCCCACATGGTCTTAAAGGTAACATTACTAATCTGGCAAATTTTAATGTGAACAAAATGCAAAATGGAATGTGCTATATTTGACCCTGTAACTTTCCAAGACACCATAAAACCTGCTAATGGGGGGTACTGTTGTACTCGTGAGACATTACTGAATACAAATAAGTGCATTTTATTGCAGTAAAAGCGAACATTATCATGACATTTACAGCTAAAATGTCAGGCGGAACTACAATTTTTGTTTTAAATCTTAATTTCTCTCCATTTTTTTTTATTTTATTCATAATAAGTTATGTTTCATATATGAATAGTTCATGATAAATTAAAGCCCTGTTTCTCCTGAACAAAATGATATATAATAAGTGTGGGTGCACTTAATGTGACAGCGGTGAATTACGGTTGAACAGACATATAGCGCAAATTCCAGGTTTTGCTACATTTTGTTTTGTTCAGAACGTGTACTATTGACTCCGTTCTGAAGGGGTTAAGTCCTTCATTTCTGGTGTTGAAATGTGTGCTCATTTTCATCTCAAATGTCTTTAGTTCATGAGAGTCTTTGAAATTTCCTTTAAGAACTTTAATCCTAATTGTTTGGATGGAGTAATCAGTTTGGGTGAATTGATGACCTCACTGATGGGTGAAGTGAGGGGTACAATATCCGTTTTCCTTGTGGTTCTTGATTGAGTGTCTGTGTAGATTCATTCTGAGATGCAGTTTAAGGCCATTTTCTCCAGTGTAGCAACCTTTGTCACACACTGTACACTGTATCATGTACACCACATTTGCAGATGTGCACATATATGATACATGATCCCTTTATGTTGTATGATTTGTTATGGTGTCTGGCTTGTGTGTGTTATTGCCACATATACGTTGACACAGTTTGCAGGATGATTTGTTGCCTCGTACAGTGCCATTATGTGTGAGCTCCTGTTCTGTGGTTAATTTGCTGCGGACCAATCTCTGTCTCAGGTTAGGCGGTTGTTTGAATGCTAGTATGAGGGGCTCAGGAAATATTTTTTTGAGTGTGGGGTCCACTGAAATGAATGGTTGTAGCTCTTTAATAATTTTACGTACTCCTTCTAGAGTTGGGTTATATGTGAGGGAGGGGGGTTATGATGGTGTGAGGGAAGGGGGTGATGATGGTGTGAGGGAGGGGGAGTGATGATGGTGTGAGGGAGGGGGAGTGATGATGGTGTGAGGGAGGGGGAGTGATGATGGTGTGAGAGATGGGGGGTGATGATGTGTGAGGGAGGGGGCTTATGATGGTGTGAGGGGGGAGGGGGCTGATGACCGTGCAGAGGGAATTAAGTAAGGGAACATAGGAAGGATGCAGAGTAACAAAACGGGTTTAAAAAAAAGTTAAAGTAAACTTTAGCAGGTTCTGTCTGTGAGATAGCATGTTTTTTTACTTTTCACTACATCAACCTCCTTCTCTGTCCCAGGCTCCACTAGATACAAGACACTTGGGAATTATGTCTGTTTTAGTGCTTTCTGCCTACAAGATACTGTAATTAAGCATATCCCAATCACCAGCACAAGGCCCAATAGACTCTTAATCTTCACTGATGTTAGTGAAGTGCAGGGCTTGTTTCCTGTAGTGTAAGGAATGTTTAGTGTTAGTTAGTGTAGAGGCTAATGTTTAGTATAGTGTGTTAGGGCTATTAGAGATTAAGTTCCCCCCATCAGTGGGGACACTTTATGTAGGTCCCCAGATTACTCTTATATTTTAGTCAGTCTGTGCCCAATATATGATCAGGGCGTGTATAGTGTATTTGTTTGATGTTAGTTATTGTCTTCCCCTTTCTCTTGTCTTATTGTTTTCCCAGCAGGGCGTTCAATGCATTATTTGTCATTGTGCAGGTTTGTCATTATGATTCTTTTTTATTATGTGATTTTGTTAAAGTTAGGGTTAGTGTTATGGTAGTGGAGTGGTTAAGATTTAGTTGTATAATAGTGTGTAGGTGTTAATGGTTTCATTTAGGGTAGTATACGTTTTATTGTTTCATGTTAGAGTTGTATAATGATTAATGTTTTGCTATAGTGTAGTGTGCTGCACAGGTTAATACTTAGTGTTAGTGTAGTGTACTGTAGTGTATGTGTTAATGTTTAGTTACATTGTAGTGTAGTAAGTAAATGAACTTACTACACTATGAAGTTGCAACAGTTCCATCTGTGGTCAGATTGCCAAGTTTTGCCTGTTACTGTGAGTACAAGAATCAGTTTTGGTAGAGCCAGACTGGCTCACCAGGAAACTGGAAGATTACTGTGGATCTGGCTGCAGCCAGGGAAACTTTTGCTTGCTTAACAGATAAATGACATTTGTATATGTTTGGTTGAGAGGCTGTGGATGAGCCTAGGCATGAAATGAACGAAGAACTGTGGAAGCCAATCACTACCTTGCACTGCATAATGCTGAGGATACATGGCATCATACCAGCAGCCATGACTAGTGAATGCATGTGGAGAGGCTCCAATGTCTAAGAGGCAGAATTACTTTAACCAATGATCTGACCGCTGATGAGGAGCCGCTTAAGAAGAGTGTGCAACCCCTACACAAATATACACATGCAGTACACCACACACAGATCCCTTTACACACTTTACATCACAATCAGCTGCCTCACACACATACAACACCACATGGAGCATCCTCACACATGCACAACACCTATTACCAGCCCTGTCCCACTTTTGTCCTTTGGAATCCCTCTGTTGGGGGCACCAGAGACAAGTCATTGTTATACACATCAGATGCTTATCATTTAATTTGCTTATACTGTGGGAAATTTTACCTCTTCCTAGAGTACTTTTAAAAGGCTGGGTCTAAGTTATGTGAACAAAACAATGAAAAAACACTAGTATGTGTGAAAAATAGAAAATAATAAATAAATAAACTTGAAAATGTGATGTCCTGAGTATATCCCACAAAAATACCCAAAAATATGTAAAAAGATAAAGAATGAGGGAAAACCACAGTACATGTATAAAATATAAATAAAGAAGGATCGGCAATATCGATGCTTGCTCATGCTCAAGAAGAGTAAGGACACTGCTAAGGGACAAAAAAAAACAGAGAAAGAAAGTATACGCACATAAGGAAAAATAAATAATAACCTACCTCTCCCAGAACATGCAACCGGAATGGAAAAAGCAAAAAAAATATAACCAGGAAGAAAAAATATAAAAAATATATTGAAAAATTAAAAACAATATATAATGAAACGAATACAAAAATATAAAAAATACAAATAAATATAAAATAAAAATAAATATTAATATGAAAATAAAATAATGGAAAATACAAATAAATAATAAAAATAAATATGAATATATAAAGCAATGAAATAGCAAAAAAGAAGAAAATAGATCAATTTGCATGTGAAAGTGGTGGTGGTACAACTGGTAAAAATAAAACACAGAAAAAAACATATTAAAAAGGAACAAGAAAATTGTATTAAGCCCTTGTAAATCAATGTCCTGATTTAAACCTAATTTCAGGGTGTTTCAGTTGAAAATCCACTGAGCTTCTTTATGAATGAGTTTTTGTAATCTGTTACCACCTCTCCAGCCCAAATTTACTTTAATTTTTTCCCCAGCAAAAATATGCACATGAGTTGCATGGCTTAGGTACGCTATTGTCTGTTCTTTTATTTCTGATGTTATTAAAATGTTCCAAAATTCTAATATAACAAAAACCAATAAGGGCCCCTAAGGTAGAAGTGGCCCTGTGGGGGGAGAACAGATGTGAAGAAAAAAGAGAACCCTAACGTCTATTAAATCTAAGATTAATTAAATTTCTTTTAAAAAAAAACCTAAAAAAACAATGACAGGCTTATGACACTAGATCTCAGTGGGGACATAGGGTAGTCAACCCACATTCAAGGTGGGGAATTATATTTTGACCACCAAATTAAAACATCCCCAATCATCACTAACTGAGATGAGAGGGTAGGAGTGAGTACTTAGAATAAATAAAAGGAAGACGAGGAGAGAGGTAATGAATATAACAACTCCAGGCACAAAAAAGAGAAACATATTTCTCCCGGAAAGAAAAAGACTAGTGGAAAATGAGGGGAGAATAACATTATAATGAAAAAGTGCAGGAGTGCCCCAAAGTAAAACAAAGTATGAGGGCTTACTAAGCTGCAATAAAAAAAAGAGGGGGTAGGAAAAAAGAAAAGAGTGACGAATCCACTCTAAAATCTCATACTGTCCCAATATATACCTCAGCACTATAGCTAGATTACTAGTGCCTACCTGAATCACAAAAAAAAAAAAAAAACCTGATGATATGTTATAGTTCATATGTGATATTTTTATACGTATTGTATTTATCTTAATGGATTGTTGTATTATTGAAAACTGTTAACACTTGGAACAACAATTTTTATCATTTCAGTTACAGGTAGTTGAGCATTAAAAACACATTTAAGGACAAAAAAAAAGACTTGAAAAAACTCTGGTGAATTGAGGAATATATCTGTAATTGTGTTCTATATGTTGCCAATTAGCTCTGAACCCACCATTTATAGTTTTAGGGGACATACTTTCACCAAGGAAGAGAAATTATAATGCATTATGGGAATTATAATGCCTGACATTTTTTGTATTCTTGTTTTGTAGCATTTCAAGTTTCTTCATGTTTTAACATCGACACGGTCAAGTTCTGGAATTACACAACAGAGAGCAGTTCTCTTTTTGGACAGAAGGTGCTTCAGTATCAACATGGCACAAACAAGGGGTAAGGTTATCTAAAAATGCAAATAACATGCACAAAACAACTCTAACTTCTCATAATTATGATTTCCACAAGGTCATTCTCCCTCACTCTTCTTTATATATAAAAATACAAAATAAAATGTCTTTACTATAAAAATACACTCAATAGCAGGGCCAGATTTCCCATTAGGCAGAGTAGGTACCTGTCTACAGGTGCTGGTCCTCTATGGGGCACATGTTTTCAGCACCTGTGCCTTTTTGGAGTTTAAGTGGGCTGATGGGGAGAGAGAAGTTCCAGGAGCCTTTGCCAATGTCTGCAGCAGTCCTGTCAGCAAGGCCAGATTTCTATGTCAGGTACTATTTAGCCCCCCTGGTCTCCCCTTGCCCACCTAAATATAGTAAAATCTTACCTTTATCACAGTCTGCTGCTGCTGGGTCTGCCCCTGATCTGCCTACTTGACTGACATAATTTGAAGTGGGGATCTGACCCATCCACATAGTAAAGCATTGGATTTGCTGAGATTGTAAAGGAGGCAGATCAAGGGCAGAGCCAGCACAAGTCAAACACCGCCATGTCCAATCAGCATCTCCTTAATTGAATCAATGCATCTCTATAAGAAAGGTTCAGTGTCTCCATGCAGAGGGAGAATACACTGAACGGCAGGGCTGCATAATATGCAGAACTGCCCCAGAAAGCACCTCTAACAGCCATCCGAGTAGTGGCCAGTGGAGGTGTCCCTAGTCTGTAATGTAAACATTGTATTTTCTCTGAAAAAACTGTGTTTACTGCAAAAAGCCTGAAGGGAATTATTATAGACGGGTTAATGTCAGAGTTAGATTATATAGGGCATTTAGTGTTAAAAAGTTGTAGTATAAAGGCTGTTTAAGATGATTGAATTTAAGGCTAGCATTGGGTAAAGTTAGAAATGGGGGTACATGAGATTTTATTTTTTATGAGGATTTAAACATAGGATTGAGGTTAAGGGTTTATTTCAAGCTGTAGTTTGAAGGGTTATTTGCAAAGTATTCATCCTCCTATTTCTTGTATAGACCAGTCAGATTGAAAATTTCAGAGCTACAGGATTGGTTATACAGTGTGCATCACTGAGAGCTTTCACTGCAAAGCATTTCCTGTCTGAGAGGCTGTAGTTGGCAGGTGGGAAGTGATCCCTTTAACTTCCTGTCCAGCCTTACGCACTGACATTGGAGGAGCTCGGACAGTTTTACACCCTCCTGCAGGTCTGCTGTTAAGGCTGACTGGACTACAGGGGTCACTGGCCACAGCTCCTGTTACTTATCTCCCCCACCAAATTATTAAAAAAAAATACTATAGTGTCAGGAATACAAACATGTATTCCTGAAATTATTGTTGTAGAGGCGCTTTTTAGGTTTTGGTGTCTTTAAAAAGGTAATTCTTTAACCTGATATACTTTATTATTATTTTTTGTTAGATTAACTTTAACCAAGTCAAAATATGGTAGACAACCATAGTATCTTAATCAATTATTGTCTTTTAATCAATAAATGTCTGACTTGACAAAAACCCTTGTGTTGGATTGAAACCTTGATTTTAATTTTTTTATTTGATGTAATAAAGTTGCTTTTTAAATTTTGTTTGTCAGGGTATCCAACTGGTCTAGTAAATTGCTTAAATATCATATTATTTATGCATTGTTTTTATATGTCTAGTATTTACGTGAGTTCACCTTTACAAGATATTAAGAAGAGAATATTTGAAGGGGTCTTCAAATGCACAGTTCCTAAAGGAGGGCAAAACTTGCATTGCGAAAAGATGGATCCTTTTCAAGGTACTGAGACAAGTTTGTTTTATTTGGATCAATAGTAATTGTTAAACAATCAGATGGAAAAGAAAAAAATACCAATACTGCTTATGTATGTTGATTGTATTGTATTTGTAATATTTTTTTTTTTTTTTTTTTTTTAAAACAATATACAATAGTATTTTGTTCATAATTTGTCTCTGTCTGCAATTTGATGTCCGTTCGTGGTGGTTTATTAAAATAACACTCCTAATACAAGCTCTTGAACTTCAGTTGTTCTCTTTTCTATTTGATCAAAATGCCAATTGTAATAGAAATGTGCACTTATATACATTAACCTTGTTGTTACACCCCATTGGCTGTCAATCAGACATCAGGACCTGTTACTTCCTGAAAGATTAGCTCAATGGAGCTAAACACATGAGGTTGGCAATTGTACAGATTACTTGCCTTGCAAAGACTTCATAATGAGCTGTAATACGGCTCATTGAGAAGCCTGTTATTGGACAGCCAGAGGAAGTCTGTGCTGGGGAAGAATGGGATATGCAACTATTGCAAGACTGATTACATATACATTTGATGCTTGGTAGAACAAATATTTTCTGTCAGAGTATTTTAAATAAACATTTTATGAAAGAAATCTTGAGTGCACATTAAGCACTTGAGCATTTAGTTTTGTCTGGACTGAGATTCCTCTCAACTTTATTATTTGGCTGGAAAAAAAAAATCCCGATTAGGCTTTTGCTTAAATCCCGAAATAACCAAAAAGGCCATTGGTCAAGCCGTTTCTGGATTCGGGCTCTACTATTTGACTTGCAGTAAGCAGGCAAATAGTTACTAAAAAAACTCTTGGCGGCATCAAAGTTAAGCATCTGGTGACTTGCCAACTGCTTGGTAGCCAGCCACATTAAAAAAAAGGTTAATACAAATTAAGAATGGGCCTACATATTTAGAAAACATCCCCCTCCTTGGCATGCCATGTGTGTGTGCATATCTACTAAACAGTGAGAAGCTAGCAACTGATCATAATGAATAAGGACTGGAACCTGCACAGATGTTGCAGCCCAGTCGCTAATAAGATATGGGGGGAGGGGCTCTGAATGGTGTACATTGTGTGAAAAAGGACCTTCTAAAATAACTTTATATCACCAGGGTCAGCGTTTCATATAGGCCAACTAGATGGCCGCCTAGGGCGCTGCTTAAAGGGGGGCACCGGAAGGAGCTTTACTGCTTTGTTCGTTTGGCTGCTCATCTATGTTTGAATTGTGCTGCGGACCATGTTTCCGTGCGCTAGGGAGCACTTACATGGCTGCTGACTAGCACCTGGTGTAACACTGGTCTGGTGGCATCCACAGCCTTCTTACCTAGGCCCCCCACAAAGACTCCATTGACGCAGCAGCACAAGGGCACTTCCATTTCTCGCTCCTGCCCCTTTCCCTGTACGTGGGGACAAGTGGGCGGGAGCATAGCAAGGGCGGGGCTGAGACGGAGTGAAGGCAGCCAGGTGCAGGGAAGCTACAAGGAACACATGAAAAGCAGTCAAATATGAAGAAAGATAAGTGGGTCAATGGGACATCACAATGTGTATTTGTGAAAAATTTGTGTTTGTCAATATGTATGGGTCAGTGTTTGTCTATATCATTCAGTGTGTGTCTGTATGGGTCAGTGTTTGTCTGTATGGATCAGTGTGTGTCGGTATGTGTGTGCATAGGTCAGTGTGTATCGGCATGGGTCAGCGTGTGTATGCAGTATGGGTCAGTGTGTGTCTGCATGTATCCGTGTGTCTGTCTGAATGTATTAGTGTGTGTCAGTGTATGTGTCTGCATGGGCCAGTATGTGTGTGCGCGTCAGCCTGCATTCATCAGTGTGTATGTGTGTCTGCGTCAATGTTCATTCATTCATCAGTGTGTGTGCATCAGTCTGCATAGATCAATGTGTGTGCGTCAGTCTGCATGGATCAGTGTTTGTGCGTCAGTCTGCTTGGGTCAGTGTGTCAGTCTGCATGATTGGGTGGAGCAAATGGGGTGACAATTTTTTTTTTTTTGCCTAGGGTGGCAAAATTCCTTGCACCGGCCTTGCATTTCACTGCATTAAAATTTGTAGTCAGAATTCCATTCCTATTATAGGTTTAATAATTAAATAAATACAACTATATATATACTATATCTGTATGTATATATATTTCATATATGTGTGGAAATCAGTGACTATACCTATTCACGTGCAAATGTCAAATTATTGTAAGGTGTAGCATGCATGTTATAGAAGGACACTGTACAAAGCACAGAAAATATGTTATGGCATGTGGAAGGCGACAATATTATGTTCGTCTATTTCTGACTGTTTTCAGTACTCTTTTGTAATTTTATTTGTTCTTCTTTATACCTCAAAGCTTTTTAATTAGTGTATGCAGTGCAATAGATTTTAAGTACTTACATTATGTAATATATTGTTTGGATATATTTTGAAAGGATTTTGATTTGTATTTTTTTTTTATATATATATATATATATTTTTTTTTTATTATTATTATTTTTTATTTTGCACAAAGTATCTTATTTGTATCAGCCATTTGGGATTGGGACTTCAGCTGCTAAAATTCAAGTGGATAACAAAATATTTCTTCCTAGATTTCAATGAGAGATGAAAGTTAAATCATACATCTATGACAGCCTAAATGGGCACTCCAGGCACCAAAATAACTTAATCGAAATGATTGGCTGAAAGTGATGCACATAGCAAATCAGTGACTCCCTATTGACAAAACTGGCTTGGAAAAGGTATGTTCTTTCCAAGCCAGTTTTGTGAATGGGGAGTCACTGATTGGCTGTGAGTGTCAGCTGACTGTTGGAGGCAACTTTGGGATTAATCTGTTCTAAAATGGTTTAACTTCTGAAGGTAAAAGTGCCTCCTGGCACCATAACAACTTCATTGTGACAAAGTTGTTATGGTGTCTTATGTTGCATAAACTGTTTATGTTGCATACACTTTTAGTGCTAATTTAATCTTTACATGATATTGTGTTCTGTAATTATTTATAGGAAGAAGTCAAGCTCCTAGAGTTGCGCCCTATCCTATTATATCATTAGCCAGAAATGCAGACAGTACTCTGGTAAGTTATTGCATGTAAAATAACAAGTGGTTAAGACAGAAAATAGTATTAGCCAGACCAAAGTTTGTGGCTTTGTTTTACTAGAAGTTATAATGAAACACGTTTCAGTAGAATTCTGCACTGTTTCAAGAAATAATCTGTTTGCATGGCTGGTTTGTGACACTTACTAATTGTGGCAGAAAAGACTTAACAAGATGAGGTATACAGATTGAATTTGATTTTCTTTACATTGAAACTTAAACCTTTATATGATAATACATTCCGGCATCGGAGTAAATAAAACCAATAAACTTAGAATGATAACGTTTCCAAAGCCACTTACAGCACACCTCTGATTATTTTAAGGTATGCGCCTCAGACTGTGTTTGCAGAATCTTTTACTGGACTTCCCTGATATTCACCTCATGAATGGTGATGTCGCGAACCGTTCGCGAACTTCCCGCGAACGGCTCGCCACGGTTCGCCACGAACTGTTCGCGGCGAACTCCGGTCAGCTGACACATCCCAGCCAATCTCCAGCAGACCCCCCCTCCTAGACCCTCCCACCTCCTGGACAGCATCCATGTTGCCTTCGCGACATCACTACTCATGAACCTGGAAATCTAAGTTTAGTGTCAAGAAAGATTTTTCAAATTTTTGGGAGGTATTGGAAATAAGTTCAAATGCTGTTTTTCACCTTTTTTTGAACTACAGCAGAAAGAGAAATGTGAGAAGGTTGATGAATGTAAGTCTTTTTTTGGCCTTTAGTATTATTATGTTACTATTGAACGATGAGGAGTCTATCCTAAGCAGGATGACTGTTGTCTTTTAGACTCAAGAGTACATTGAGAGAGATGTCTAAAAGTTATCTGTATGTGCTGTGTATGATGAAGACAATCACTATGCAACAATCTCGTCCGCACAGAGGTAAAAATTCATGTAGCTTTAAAAAACACTTTTATTAATTGGAAAAAAAAATGCTAGTAGACAAATGTATAAAAGCTTACATGAGTTTTTCAGACTCAGTGAATTTGTGCGTGTATATGACCGAGTGTGTTGGACAGTGGTGGTCTGAAGCACGAGATCGAGATTTAACTGGGAATGGGGAACTGGAACATGCATTTCTCCGCAAAGGTGCTGCCGTAAAGCCCAACATTTAGACAAACTATAACGAATACAATAAAGAAATTGTAGAAATATTTAAGCTTTCCAAACTAGAGCAGATAATGAAGTGTCAGTTAAAACAAGCAGGTGCTAAAGGATAAAAAAAGAACAGATCAGGTCACGAGAATTAAATGTATCTTTCCCTTCACACACATGTACTTAACTGTCATAAACGGAAAAGTCATTTTGATTTTTATCTGAAAAACCATATTAAATGAATTAGTGTAAATTGATATCAGTATGTTACAATGGTAGATTAAAACAATAAAAGTTATTTTTTGATTAGCTGTCCACCAATTGTTAAACATATCATGACTACAAAGACAATGGTGGGTAACTCTTTTTATTTAGTGGTAACCCAGTGAGTGTGGCTGTTAGTTTCCAGTTTCATTTCATTTTTTTTCATTTTTTTCATTTTTTTCATTTTACCTCTTAATAACTAGCTACTCTTGATGAAAGCTCTCTAATGCCCCCTTCAAGTTAAGTGTATGAAGGCCCATGCTTCCAGTCACAGTTGCAGTTCTTATCATCTCTCAAAGTACACAATAAATTTGTGGTCGGGCAGATAAGTGAAAATTAGTTTTCCCTCACTGTATATTTTGCAATTTACATGAGCTTCTACAGAAAGTTGAATGCTGATTTGGCACGGCTCAGAAAAGAACCTGAATTAGTTATTTATCAATCATCTGGGGTATCATTTGAGGTGCCAGTAATGTATATAATAATCTTTTATATGAATGGAAATCTATTACTGCACATTGTGTTTGTTTAGGTTTTTTTTTAAATTGAACTTTAATCACACACATGAGGCTGTTGCAAACTCTAGCAAGCTAATAGCATAACAGTAGATTATAAATTCGAGGTTAAACACACTGTGCTGTAAGGGAAGCAAATCAAATATAGACTCTTTTTCAGGAAGTGTGTAGATAGGGTGTATGTGTCACAGCCAGGGGATGTGTTGCTAAAACAGTGAGTTTAGCACTAAATGGCAGAGAACTGAGCAGTATATATTATGTATATTATGAATATACACCAAGGAAAAATAGAGGAGCATTGTATTAGCATTACAAAAATTATTTTAGCAATAAATTGAATAGCAATTATAGGGAAAATTTTAAATATTTTAAAAACATAACGAAGACATTTTCTGTAAGATTTTAAATGCTCCCGGTGTCTAACAGCTCCACATATCAAAAGAAAAACATATTATATGGACATAGTCCATTTCAAATAAAAAAAAAATAATGTTTTTGACATTCTTTATTTTGTAACATTTTGTTGTCAATATGGGTTACAAACTCCATTTCAAATTTTAACTTGAGCAGTTTGAACCACTTAAATGAAAGCCTGACATATAGTGGACAAACCAATTATACTTAGCCACAACCACAGGAGTATTACAACCACAAGATATTACAACTAAAGTATTAAAAAAAGATGTCTGAACTGTACAAGGGTTGTTAATCTAAATTTCATAATCTTTTTAAAGCCATTGAGATACTAATTTGAATGATCTTTGTTTACATTTTCAAGTGTCAAATACGTAAATTACAAAACAATTTGTTATCACCTCTAAATCTGGATCTATGCAATAAAAAGTTATTGATGTTAAGGGTGGCGTGTAGTGCATTTATGTATTATGCATTTTATCCTATTTCCTAATTTCTAAATGATGTCCTTTGCTGCTAGTGTTCATTTTTGAAGTTTCTTGGTATATTCATTCCTTAAGGAATCCTAAGCATTCTAAACGAATTAGCCTAAAGTGCTTGTACCTTCCACTATCCATTAAATGCTCATTATATGCATCATTTGTACTGATCTCAGGAATCAAACAATGTAATCACTAGCACTCAGTGTAGTGGTTATAATGCCTAGAGTGCATTTTTATAGAAGCATTTTGATTATGACATCAACAAAAATGGCTCATTAAATTATAAAAACAACTATTTATCCAATAACTTGAAAAGTGGATACATCTGAAAAAGAGATATACACAGAAGTAAAACAAAAATATTACATACCTCTTAGCATTTCACATAGATAAAGAGGGACACTTTAAAGGAACACTATAGTCACCTAAATTACTTTAGCTAAATAAAGCAGTTTTAGTGTATAGATCATTGCCCTGCAATTTCACTGCTCAATTCACTGTCATTTAGGAGTTAAATCACTTTGTTTCTGTTTATGCAGCCCTAGCCACACCTCCCCTGGCTATGATTGACAGAGCCTGCATGAAAAAAAAACTGGTTTCACTTTCAAACAGATGTAATTTACCTTAAATAATTGTATCTCAATCTCTACATTGAACTTTAATCACATACAGGAGGCTCTTGCAGGGTCTAGCAAGCTATTAACATAGCAGGGGATAAGAAAATCTTAATTAAACAGAACTTACAATAAAGAAAGCCTAAATAGGGCTCTCTTTACAGGAAGTGTTTATGGAAGGTTGTGCAAGTCACATGCAGGGAGGTGTGACTAGGGTTCATAAACAAAGGGATTTAACTCCTAAATGGCAGAGGATTGAGCAGTGAGGCTGCAGGGGCATGTTCTATTCACCAAAACTGCTTCATTAAGCTAAAGTTGTTCAGGTGACTATAGTGTCCCTTTAAATTTAAGGGTGTGGCTGGGGGTGTGTTCAGGGTTACAGCTGTTCTGGGACATTTTAGGTGACTTACTAACAACAATTTATGCAAATAAAATGTAATTAAGAACAAGAACAGTTAATATGATTTACACAGATTGATCTGATTTTTAAAGACATTTATTGTAGTTTAAAGACATATTACATTGTGAGTATTACTGCGTTTAGCTCTGTTAAAAACTCAGACACACCAACAACCGAGGGACATTAGGATAGAAAAGAGGGAAAGAGGGATTTGAGCCCAAAATAGGGACTTCCGTTCCTAAACAGGGACACTTGGAACGTATGATATATCTTAATAATGATAATATTGAGTTGTTATTATTATTATTATTATATTGCCAACCTAATTACATATATTATACATTAGTGAAGATTACAGGGTGGGACATCAGTATAAAGAAAACAGCTTATGTTAAAGATAAATGACACTGTACACGCATTTTCCAAAGTCGATGACATTCTGCATATCATTATATGGAATTTGACACTTATATTACAAACAAACTGAAAATAAACAAAAGCAATAATTCCATGTTTTACAGATCTGTCAACAGATGAAGGGTCGAAAGAACAAAAGCACTGCTGGAGAATTAAATGGGGAGTGCTTACTGCTTGGAAATGGCACTGGCGTTCAAACATTCCCCGATCTTGCAACAACTGGTACTGATTGCATCCCACATTTTACTAGTTTCCAAATGTCTATTATGAATCTGTTGACTGAAATACATAACTATTTCTTTTTGATATGTCATTTCTTTTTTAATTCTATTTGCAGCTCATAACAAGTCCAAGGGGAAAAACACAAATGATAATAATAATAATAATAATAATAATAATTATGGCGTAGAGGAGACCACTGCAGTGAAAGGCAAGTTACAGTTATATTTATAAAGAATATTGCACAAAATTATACTGTAATAAATTAGTTTGTTCTGTGTGTTTTTTCCAGGTTGATTAAAATAAGTCTTTTATGTATATTTCTTCTTGGGTAAAAGGCTTGCCATGTTAATATAAGTTTATATTAACCAAAAATCCTAATACGCAATCTGACTTACGGTTTCTTCAGGTTTATTTTTACTGTTACGGATACATAATAAAACAACAAAGGATGTTGTTCAGCAGCAGATGGTAATTGCTGGACTCCTGAAGGGAGAGTTAGACTCTACATAGTTAGAGAACAGCCAGACAAGAACCCTGTGCAGCAAGCAATGGGAAACATCAAGACCTCGTGGTCCTTTGTCCCCTTTTCTATATAGCTATGACCATTATGACGTCAGAATATCACCCTAGCCATATAATGACAAGACCCCTAATTACCACATTCCAGAGTTCTCCTGGTAGAGCATTACAATGTAACATATGTTCTTTTTAACCCATTAGACATCCATACCTACAATGAATATAAATAGGAACATAGTAATATTCTACATATACAAACCTAAATCTCCAGTTCTGATGCATATTTCAGCTGTATGCAGCAGCCAGGAGAGCCAGAATCTCCGGTTTAGGTGTTTCCATTTGTTCTCCACTTTGTAACTATACTATTATTAAAGACAACGGTGGTAGTTACAATTAGTAGCTACTACCCTTGCGTGTAACTACCACTAAGTTTAGGTAGGCTTGAACATTTCCAAGTGCTGCCCAACAGGCACACTATACATCAGGAGTAGGCAACAGTCAGCACTCCTGATATTGTGGTCTATATCTCCCATAATACTCTTGCAGCCATAATGCTATTTATTTATTATTTAAAAAATATATATATATTTTATATATTTATTTATTTTGCATGGTGTGGCATGATGCAGAATATTTTGCTGTAAAATCTTTTTTTCCTTCCTGTATGTTTTATCCAATATCACATACATAAATGCACTGTAAATATAAACATTACTCCAATAATCTATTAACATCTCTATTGTCTCCTAGGAGTAGCTATGTTGGAAGATGCTTACAATCTAATCAAATTTGTTGAGGAAAATATAAATAATAATAACAATATGGAAGATGTGGACGATGATGATGATGATGGTAAATTTTATGTATAAATTTTTTTATATACTAATATAATAAAATAAATAAACAAAATATAAAAGTAACTTGTTCATGGTTAGGGAAAAGGAAAGGAGAGGGGGTATAAGCCATGCCCAAAGAAGCCCCCATCCCAGTGTACGAGAGGTATAGTTACTAAAGAATTTAAAATGTATCCAGGTGTAATAGCTTGCCAGATTTACAGTCCATATATAACAATATATTTTATTTAAAAAGGGGAAAGAATGTCATGTTAGTGTTTGGAGCAGACAACAGGAGAGTATATTAAATGAAGTGTGAAAGGACTAGGAAGTGATATAGGCAGAGAATTAGTTGACAGGTTAAATTTTTTTCCTAACAATGCAGATTAGTTAGGGATTTTTATATATCGCCAGACACAAAGTAAAAGCCTAATCAGATTTGATAGGGCAATATAATAGCTGGGGAAGCCCTACATAAGACAGGCAGAGATTGTAGGCCTACTGGTGTGTGTTTAGTGTTTGTTAACTAAAATATGGTTGGAGGAGTTTGGTGTGGAAGAACTTGACAGGCCTATACAGACCCCCGACAACAACCCCATCGAACACCTTTGGAATGAACTGGAATGGAGATTGTGAGGCAGACCTTCTCGTCCAACATCAGTGCCTGACCTCACACATATTCTGCTGGATGAATGGGCAATATTTCCCACAGAAACACTCCAAAATTGTGTGGAAAGCCTTCCCAGAAGAGTTTACGTTATAGCTGCAAAGGGGAGGGTCAACTGCATATTAATGTATATGTGTGCATTTATAATGCAATGTCATAAAAATCCCTGTTGGTGTAATGGTCAGGTGTCCCTATAGTCTATATTATGGTGCAGCCAAGTAAAAATGTGATATAGATTTCTGATGGAAACACTAAGATACACTAAGATACCACGGATGAGATTTATCAAGGCAAAACAGCTGCTATTCTGGGTGCAATATGCTTAATGTTGAAACATTTTCTATTGGTTTCCATGGTGATTGCTCTTCATATAACACTTAAGCCCTGCAGTAAAACTTGTTTTGCCTTGATAAATCTCACACTGTATGAACCACCCTTTTTTAGTTAATAATACCCAGAAAAGTACAATTCTTTTCTTTGATTTGATTTCTTTAATTAGGACTAAATTGTGAGCCATCTGAGGGCAAAACCTTGTAATAATCTTTAAATTAGTAATAAAACATAATGTCTATTTTTGTCATATCAGTCACAGAGATTGCAATCGTTCTGGATGGCTCAGGCAGTATTGAAAAAGAGGATTTCCAAAAGGCAAAGGATTTTATTTCCAATATGATGAAAATGTTCTGGGAGAAATGTACACAGGTTAGCTTTGAAAACTTCCTATTTGATTATTTTTCGGATTATTGAGAATTTGCATGAGTGTTCTGGCAAACGTTGTGCATCCTTCCCTGGAAGCTCTGTTAAGGAACATTAACACCATTCTTGATCCAAAGACCCCTCCTTCTCACCCTTCATGACTTTGGCCTCAGTGACACAGCATTTTCCTGGTTTTCTTCCTACCTCTTTGTCACGGCGCATAGAGGGGACCCGGCATGTCCACTCACTCACCAGGCGCCACATGTTCCTCAGCATCCTGGGAGACACACTGCACCTACCTCCAGCCGCCTGTAGTCCCTGTCACTCCGCAGCGGCCAGGCGCGCAATCCCCGCTGCAGTTTCCCTAAATGCCTCGACCACACCACGTGGGTCGTGGCGTGCAGAAGTGTCCCTGCAGACTTTATCTGTCCGCCAGTGTGTTTCCCCTCCGGCAGATGGATCAGGTAACATGTGTACCATGACCCCCATGCTGCTCCAGGATTCCATTAAAACTCTTAGAATCCCGTGCACCCTAGTACGAGTTACCTGGAAGCAGTGTGGAGGTCAGTGGGTATACAAACGGACATAGTGTCCCACTCACTTAGCGGATTTATCTCATCTGACCACTGGCTACCCTGTCTCCTTATAGAGGTCCATAGACCCCTCCTCATGGGAGAGCCCTTATTCCCTTTCCCCTATAAAGACACAGAACTTCCTTGGTTCTGTGCTCAGTTGTTTTGTTCATCCCTAGGAGTAAAGAGCCATCTCCTAAGGCAGGCATAGGCAACCTTCGGCACTCCAGATGTTTTGGACTACACCTCCCATGATGCTTTGCCAGCATTATGGGTGTAAGAGCATTAAGGGGAATGTAGTCCATAACATCTGGAGTGCCGAAGGTTGCCTATCCCTGTACATTTGCATATTTGACCTCGCATTGGATTAACCCTTGCTACACTGATTCTCCTTTGGACTGCATTACCTAGTGAAGTAACTCTGGTAAAGGACTCTATTTTCTTTAAAGACATTTATTTGCACATTGAAATAATTACTTTACTGTTACTTTATTTTCTGCATATGAAACCTGCCTTTATGTTACAAATAAAAGACCAGTTAATTTGGTTACTGTGCTCGCCTCCATCTCTGCATCCTGACCCCATTCACCCAGACCCATGACACTCTCTGACCGCTCTTTTAAAACCTCCTTCTCTTTTTCCTCTTCTCGTACTGAACCTTTCTCGGTGTGAATTCCTCAAGGCTCTGTACTGGGAGCTCTGTTCTTCTTAAGTTAAACTTCCCCTCTTGGACTCCATATATCATCTTATGGCTTTCAGCATCACCTGTTTGCTGATGATACCCAAATCTACCTCTCCTCACCTGATCTTTCGCCCTATGTGCTGGAATGTGTCATTGACTGCCTTTCTCTTTCTGACTTTCTGACTTCGTGATTCCTAAAACTCAACCTTTTCAAGACTGAACTCCTTGTCTTTCCTCCTCCTAAAGCTACGTCTGTGTCAGTTTCCCTTAATGTCAATGAAGCTATCATAACCTCTACGCTACAGGTGAGATGCCTTGGTGTGCTCTTTGACTCTAACCTCTCCTTCACCCTTACATAAAATCTATCAATATCATGTCGCTCTCACCTTCCACATTTCTAGAATTTGCCCCGTTTCTAACTCAGAACGCAACAAAGATGCTTGTCAATGCTCTCATTATTTCCTGCCTTATTATGGTAACTCTCTGCTTGTCCACTGCAAAGTGCCAAGATTGCCCCTCTACAGTCTGTAATGAACGTCTCTGCCAGTCTCATGTACCTTATATCTAGCAACTGTCACACCTCACCCCTCTGTCAGTGTCTACACTGGCTTCCTGTTCCATTTTAGGATACTGTTACATATTACTGTCCCAGACTCTTGGGCATGTCCACCATATGTGGAACATGGTGCAGACTGCAAATTTAATCTCCAGCTTGTGTTACCAGCATGTCGGTATTAAGTGTGCAAGTCACACTGGCACCAAATACCACCTATATAGTATTTTACGCTGCAGTACCAGAGCCTCTTGTATATTGTAAAAATGTTTTTCCAAGGTCTCTATGCCATGTGTCTAAGACATGCATCACCATTCAACGGCTCATAGTCCAATGCAAGCACCTTTTTACATACAGGGAGTGCAGAATTATTAGGCAAATGAGTATTTTGACCACATCATCCTCTTTATGCATGTTGTCTTACTCCAAGCTGTATAGGCTCGAAAGCCTACTACCAATTAAGCATATTAGGTGATGTGCATCTCTGTAATGAGAAGGGGTGTGGTCTAATGACATCAACACCCTATATCAGGTGTGCATAATTATTAGGCAACTTCCTTTCCTTTGGCAAAATGGGTCAAAAGAAGGACTTGACAGGCTCAGAAAAGTCAAAAATAGTGAGATATCTTGCAGAGGGATGCAGCACTCTTAAAATTGCAAAGCTTCTGAAGCGTGATCATCGAACAATCAAGCGTTTCATTCAAAATAGTCAACAGGGTCACAAGAAGCGTGTGGAAAAACCAAGGCGCAAAATAACTGCCCATGAACTGAGAAAAGTCAAGCGTGCAGCTGCCACGATGCCACTTGCCACCAGTTTGGCCATATTTCAGAGCTGCAACATCACTGGAGTGCCCAAAAGCACAAGGTGTGCAATACTCAGAGACATGGCCAAGGTAAGAAAGGCTGAAAGACGACCACCACTGAACAAGACACACAAGCTGAAACGTCAAGACTGGGCCAAGAAATATCTCAAGACTGATTTTTCTAAGGTTTTATGGACTGATGAAATGAGAGTGAGTCTTGATGGGCCAGATGGATGGGCCCGTGGCTGGATTGGTAAAGGGCAGAGAGCTCCAGTCCGACTCAGACGCCAGCAAGGTGGAGGTGGAGTACTGGTTTGGGCTGGTATCATCAAAGATGAGCTTGTGGGGCCTTTTCGGGTTGAGGATGGAGTCAAGCTCAACTCCCAGTCCTACTGCCAGTTCCTGGAAGACACCTTCTTCAAGCAGTGGTACAGGAAGAAGTCTGCATCCTTCAAGAAAAACATGATTTTCATGCAGGACAATGCTCCATCACACGCGTCCAAGTACTCCACAGCGTGGCTGGCAAGAAAGGGTATAAAAGAAGAAAATCTAATGACATGGCCTCCTTGTTCACCTGATCTGAACCCCATTGAGAACCTGTGGTCCATCATCAAATGTGAGATTTACAAGGAGGGAAAACAGTACACCTCTCTGAACAGTGTCTGGGAGGCTGTGGTTGCTGCTGCACGCAATGTTGATGGTGAACAGATCAAAACACTGACAGAATCCATGGATGGCAGGCTTTTGAGTGTCCTTGCAAAGAAAGGTGGCTATATTGGTCACTGATTTGTTTTTGTTTTGTTTTTGAATGTCAGAAATGTATATTTGTGAATGTTGAGATGTTATATTGGTTTCACTGGTAATAATAAATAATTGAAATGGGTATATATTTGTTTTTTGTTAAGTTGCCTAATAATTATGCACAGTAATAGTCACCTGCACACACAGATATCCCCCTAACATAGCTAAAACTAAAAACAAACTAAAAACTACTTCCAAAAATATTCAGCTTTGATATTAATGAGTTTTTTGGGTTCATTGAGAACATGGTTGTTGTTCAATAATAAAATTAATCCTCAAAAATACAACTTGCCTAATAATTCTGCACTCCCTGTATAAGTATGGGTATTTTTTGTGCACATTCACCTCGGGTGTATCACTTTTTTTTTAGTTAACTTTATAATATGATCATAGAATAGGGAATCCCAGGCCTTGATTTCAGTGTAGCTGTAAATTCATTGATTAACTTGATAGAATTGCATCGAAATAAGTATTTTAAGTTTTCTATGGCTCTAATTCCTAGGAATGTCAGCAAGTCCAATCTCCAATCAAAGGTTGGATGTCCGTAAGCGCTACCTCTCGCATTCCCAATACCTGAGTTTTGGTCATGTTAAGCTTGTAATAGGATTGTAAGCTATACTCTCCACATTTCTTAATCAGTTTAATGAGAGACATGCATTGTCATAGGTTCAATTTGTATTCTTTTTCATCTAATTATACAGTATTCCAAATATATTGGCATTAGCAAATAGACCATGTGATACACTGTTTAGCCATAGATTAACAGAACTTATCATTAAGGGTTTTTTATAGACAGGCTTACATAAAGTCACAAAATAGACCTATAGTTTGTAAAAAGACTGGTTACAAAAGGTTTAAAACATTACACAAATATTTTTTTCAGCTGGGAGTTGCTATGATGCTAAATATTTAAATTACAAGTGACTAATAATATACCATCCAGAGGCAACAGCTTGTCTTTCATTTATTGCTAGTTGCTATTGTCCACATTTTGACATTTTTGTAAATATGTTCAGGGTTTCAGATGGGACAGTGCATTTCACTGAAACTTTACGTTAACACTCATGAGCATCTTATGTTATCCCTGCTCATAACATCACTCTTTATCAATCTTTATCTGCTGTATATGATTATTTTGTTCTTTGCAGTGTGACTTTGCTGTTGTTCAGTATGGTGATGTGATCCAAAAAGAATTTGATCTGCAGGAAAGCCGACAAGATAGCAACCATGCATTACAAACGGTTCAACAAACAGAACAAGTAGGAAATGTAACCAAGACAGCTTCAGCTCTTCAATATGTACTGTAAGTATAGTTAAAAAAAACCTAATTTAGAAATCACTGAAAAATACAAACAAATAAAAAACACACAAGGAATTGTAAGGAAGGAACCAATTACAAACAGACCAGAAAATTTGCTGCTTTATTGAATAACTATAATTTCCTCTATTGTTTATATTCATTGTACATATACTTATAGATAATTAACATGTGTTATCTTGAAGGCACATTGTAAGGTACATCATATCATTAGTTACATCACTGTACTTAATGTTCCAGAAAATAATCTCAATTATTATTTTATTTAAATAGAGATAACATTTTTAATGAAGCCAGTGGTTCCAAACCAAAAGCCAAGAAAATTATCCTGGTGTTGACAGATGGTGACATATTTATGGATCCATTAAACTTAACAACAGTCATCAATTCACCAAAAATGAAAGATGTTGAACGTTTTGCGATAGGGGTAAGTGCTTCTTCAGCATAAGAAAAGTTATAGTAAAAAAAATATTATATAACCGTGAATTTAATTTATGAATACATGCTTGACATGAAAGGAAAGCAGCTATTTATTTTTCTTACAGGGTTTTTTACAAAAGCGAGGACTGCTAGGAATTCAAAGTGAATGTTATTCACTTTAATTTAAAAATTAAGGCCAAAGTAAGACGGAAACATTTTCCAAGTGTACCCAGTTTTGGATCAATATCTGAATTTCAGTTTGAATTTGCTTAAAAATTCCAAACTATTTTCACTCTCGTGAATAACTGTTAGATAAAATGTTTACATGTCAAAATAAAAGTAATGTTAGCAGTAATGTAAAACAACTTACTATTCAGTTTCAAAACTACTCATTTTAATGTTCCTTATGAAAGTGACAAGAGGCCACTTAATTTCCTGTGATCGATTCCTACTAAAATCTGCATCTAATTCCACTTTGAGTTATGGATCCTATTTCTGTTTGAAAGTAACAGACATGCTAACCTGACTATCCTGAGGCTGAATACTACTACTAATAGTGGTTGTTATTATTATTATTATTATTATTATTATTATTATTGGCATTTATATAGCGCCAACAGGTTCCGTAACACTTTACAATATTATAAGGTGGGTGGATTTAACTATAAATAGGACAATTACTAAAAAAAAACAAAAAAAACTTACAGGAACGATAGGTTCAAGAAGACCCTGTTCAAACGAGCTTACAGTCTATGGGTTAACTCTGGTGCTGGTGACGCAGGTGGTGGTGATGGTGCTAGTGGCGTCACAGGCATGAATAGTCCTCATGGCCAAAGAAGAGGTGTTAGGACACTAAGATGTCATGGCACAATTGCTGATAGTGGTTTGAGGAACACAAACTCTACCCTCTCTCAGTTTCTTTTTTGGATTAGAACATAATAATTGATGATAGGTTTGTTTTTATTATTAGTATAAATTGGGATATGAATTTTTATTGTGTAAACTAACACAGCTTTATTAAGCCAAAGTTAATGTTTGTGTTGAAAAATGGGTTGCTTGTTGCTGCTTGGTGGATTAACTACGACTGTAATGTTATTGTGTTTGACTGGACGATTAAACACTACAATCATCAAAGCATACAGTGCTCGCACACTTGCAGAGCACACAGTTAAAGAAAAAAGGCTTTTAAAATTGATTCTTTAAAGGACCACTATAGTGCCAGGAAAACAAACTTGTTTTCCTGGCACTATAGGGTCTTTAGGCCCCTGCCCCCCCACCCTCAGGGCCTCCCCCCACTGGGCTGAAGGGGTTAAAAACCCTGAGCCACTTACCTTTCTCCAGCACCGGGCTCCCTCGGTGTTGGGGAACTCTCCTCCTCCTGCTGACGTCAGATCTGAATGCGCATGCGCATTCAAACCACCCATAGGAAAGCATTGCTCAATGCTTTCCTATTGACGCCCAGCGTCTTCTCACTGTGATTTTCAGTGATTGAGAATCGAGGAAGCACCACTAGCGGCTGTCAGTGAGACAGCCACTAGAGGCTAGATTAACCCTCAGTAAAACTGCTATGTTTTCAGCTGCAGGGTTAAAACTAGAGGGACCTGGCACCCAGACCACTTCATTGAGCTGAAGTGTTCTGGGTACCTATAGTGGTCCTTTAGTGATGCTGTATCCTGCCTGCAACACTACTATTGCTGCTGCACACTGGCCTGAACACTGAAAAAAAAGGATTTTGTTTGGACAGATAGTAAACATCTGCTGTCCTCAGTGCAGAATTCACTTGGTAGTAAAGTTCTGCATACTATATTGCAATTTGCAAAGCACAAGCAGTGGCAATGAAACACTGTAAATCAAATAATCTGTCTCTCAAAAGAAAAAAAAATAAGGCACTGGTAGTAGCTAGGCACAGGAAGAACCTAACCACCTCATTAGTCTCACATTAGGATGAATGACAATCTCCCACTGCCATAGAGGAACAGCAATGATTAAACACACAATCCCTGCTGAAGCTGACGTCAAAGTGTCTGAAATAATTCTTCTCATAAATATATAGATTCTTTCACTGCTCCTCCTTTTTTTTGTCTGTATTCATCACTAAACATGTGCAATTCGTTTTATTCCGAAAGTCCTGAATTGCCGAAGTGCCGAATTTCGAAAGTGCCGAAGTGCTTTGGATTTCTGAAAAGTGGTAAAACAAGAGAGGGAGGGAAAATTATGTGAATGATGATAAGAATCTAGACCAATAAGCTAATTCCTGGCACTAGGAGCCCTATACATGTGTAAGTGGTTCTGGTGGCAGTCCGGGCACCTACCCCTAACCCTACCACTACTGCTACCCTAACCTTAACCTGTGAGTTAGGGGTAGGGTTAGGGATAGGGTTAGTGTTATGGGTAGGGTTAGGGAAGGGGTTAGTGAGCCCTACAGATGTGTAAGTGGTTGCGGTGGCAAGAAAGGGATGCTTACGAATGTCCGAATTGAAGAAGTCCCTAAGTCCCGAATTGCAGAAGTCCCAAACCGAACCAATGTGCTGAATTGCCGAAGTGCCGAATTGCCAAAGTCCCAAATTTCGTAAGTGCCGAACTGAACCAAATTTTTTGGCCATGCACATCCCTATTCGTCACTTGTCACTTAAACTGTGAATAAAATCTACATTTAGGAGCTCTCCCATAGCCAGAAGTCATATTTTTTTTCCACAATTTGTACATTTTCATCAAAATAACATTTAGAGACAACCATATCTATATATCTTATGGTCTTTAGCTTTTCTGCCAATATATTGACAAGTTTTGCATAAACTTTGTGTTCCTCCAGTAAGACGAATGAACGTGTTTTTGTAGGATACTGAATGTCATCACTTTTCATTACAGGTTGGAGATGCTTTTAACAAGTCAAAGGCATTGGATGAGCTGAAGCGTATCGCATCTCAAGAGGATGGTCATGTCATACGTGTTGAAGATTATTCAGCACTACAAGGACTTCTTTCCTCCCTGCAGCAGAAGATAATTGGTATAGAAGGTAAAAACACATCAGCATCAGTTAGGAAGCTTATGTATGCTCAGAAAAAGGTATATGATATAACTGAGATTATTCACTACGGGCAACTAATTCCTCTATCCATTTGCGAGCTGGAATATGTTTGCCATATTTTGGGGGGGTCGAGGACCTTTGTTCAGGAAATTAACTTGAAGAAACCAGCTTGATCTTAAGTTTTGTTAAATTTAGCAGCTTGTCACAGGTGACAGTTTATTTTGGATTCCACATTTTATCCAACTTCATCTTGCTTTGTCTCTTTAGAATATACCTGGCAGTGCCAGGCTGGGGGGGGGGCTAAAATGTTTTAATGTATTGCAATCGTGGAGCCACAGTATTTAAAGTAATTAAAGGAGCTATGAGCAGAGCTCACTAGTTGTGAGATAATGTAATTATACACTTTATTCATTTTTCTGTAGGTACAAAAGGTGACAAATTGGAATTTGACTTGGCAGAGATTGGATTTGCAGTACATGCAAGAAACAAGGTACAGTTAGAAAGTCCAGAGAATTTAATTTGCAACCCCTATGTTTAACCCTAGAACTTTACAAAACACCTCTAAACTTGTACATGGGTGCTACTGTTGTACTCAGGAGACTTGGCTGAACACAAATATTAGTGTTTCCAAACTGTAAAATGTATTACAATGGTGATATAATCAGCAAAAGTTACGGTTTTGATTTAAAAATTCAAAAAACAAATATGAACGCTAGTTTTGGCCAGCGTTTGTGACTAAGTGGCTACTACAGAAGACTGGACATACCCCATTTTAAATACCCTGGGTTGTCTCCTTTTTTAAATGGTATGTCATGATGGGGGTAATTTTCATTCATGGGCTACCATATGGTCTCAAAGGCAACAAAACTAATCTAGTAAATTTCAAATTTCAATTCTCTCCTGGTGCTCCTCCTACCTCTCCCAGCGCTCTTTCAGTGTTTCTTTACTGCGCTGAGCCCAAAACCTACGCCTATCCTCTGATGCTCGCCTTCAAGACTTCTCCAGGGATGCACCTATTCTGTGGAACTCCCTTCCCTCCTCAATCAGACTTTCACCCAGCCTCTACTCCTTCAAAAAATCTTTGAAAACTCACTTCTTCATTAAAGCGTATCAATTAAACTGTCAGCAGGTTTCTCATCCCCCACCCCATGACTTCTTTCCTGCAACTGTCAAAAATGACCTACCAAGCACTCAATAAACCCTTCTCTAACAAACTATTTAATTCCCCTACTTTAACCCTTTGTGTCACCATACCCCACTCCCTCTAGTATGTAAGCTCATCGAGCAGGGCCCTCAACCCCCTCTGTTCCTGTACGTCCAGTGGTCTGAACTCAATCATGTGTCTGTTAGTCCACACAATGTACAGCGCTACGGAATTTGTTGGCGCTATATAAATAATAAAATAATAATAATAATGTGCAAAAAACGGAAATGGGCAAGTCTTATATTCAACCCTGTAAGTTTTCAAAACACTATGAAACCTGGACATGAGGAGCACTGTTGTACTCATGAGACTGTCACGGCTCTGGACATCTCCACCGGCGTGGCTGCACCCAAACAAAGCAGCCACGCCATCAGAGATGTTTCAAACTTACCTTGGGCTCAGCGGGCAGCTACCCGGTCTCCCTCTGTTCCTGTCCCCAGCGGGTGTGACGCTGTTAGGAACGTCGGTCGCTGCGGATCGGACTTTTATAAGAAACTTACCTTACATCAAAGATGGCGCCGACATGCCTGCAACGTCACGTCATAGACGAACACACACGTTTTGGGGTCAGAGGTCAGAAACAGCCAATTACAGCCTGAGGAGGGTTATTTAAACCCAAATTACCTTTTTGTCAGTGCCCTGTCGTGGTTTCTACTAGCTGGATATCTGAGAGTGTGTTCATGATTGCGTTTTTCTGGTATTTGACTTAGGCTTTATTTTGACTTCCCTTATTTCTGGTATCCATGACTTCTGGCTTTTCTCATCGTTGTGTCTCATTCTGTGTCCCTGACCTCGGAAAGTATTTTGACTATTCTGCGGTACGTTAAGTCCGGCCATTCTAAGGTCCGGTTAAAAGTTATCCTTAGTCCTAGGTGTGATACTATTCTGTGTGCTGGATCAACTATAATCCTGACAGAAACATCAAATGACAGGTTCACATATACACACAGTCTGACAGGCTCCCACACACTCTTGACAGGCTCACACACACTCTTATGCTGACAACAGGCTCGCATGCACAAACTCTGACAGGTGCTCACACACATATACACACACTCTGATAAGCTCTCTCTCAGGTACACACATACACACACTCTGACAGGCTCTCTCTCAGGCACACATATACACACTCTGACAGGCACACACAGACTCTGACAGGCTCATTCTCACAAACACGCACACACCCACACTCACTCTGATAGGCTCACACACACATTTTTGTTTTAATTGAAACCCACTCAGCCTACCTACCTTTGGGAGAGCTGAGTGGGTCTTTCCCTGGGGTCAAGTGGGGCTGCTCTCTTCCTGTGTGCGAAGGAGCAGTACTCTGCCTGTAGCGCATCTCTGCTCCCTCGTGCTCTGTAATGATGCCGGGGCCGGAATGACATATTTCAGCTTCCGGCATCATTAAACAGCGCTAGAGAGCAGGCAGAGTACTACTCCCTCGCGCGCTGCCCACATTGGTCCCGCTGGGTAAAAGCTACCTTGGCAGCCACACTAACTGGCGCCTGGGATTTGTCAAGCCCTACATACGAAAGCATGGAGCGATCGCATCATGCCAAGCTCAGGGTTGTTGGCCAGAATGCATGATTGGCAAGCAACCTGTCATGCATTTGCACCAGGCTGACTTTCTAATTATTTGGGCAGCCCCCCCCCCCCCACCCCCCCACTTTTTTTGGCATGTTCGCCTCTTTGGGCGGTTCTGGTTACGTGACTCGCGTCAGTGGCCTAACCTTTTACCCCGCTCACCGAAGTCATGCTTCACCGGACACTGCTGTTAGGGGAGATTAGCATAGAGTATGTGTTTTCTTATAGCTATATCCTGTGAGTTTCCCTCCATCACCACCTCCGCCAGATACATGACGCTTGGGAGGTATGACTTTTAGTGTTTTATGTTAAGATTTTGTAATTAGGCCCATCATAATTGTCAGCACCAGGCCCAATGGGCTCTAAATCTAGCCGTGCAGGGTGGAATAATATAAAACATTTCTACACCATGCTTGCAGAATCTGTAATTTTGTGTCAGCAAAGTAGCTAGTTTTAGCTAGCTAGCTCAATGTAACATTTATAATGTTAATCCTTTCATTATTGAGCACTTTGTGATTGAAACAATATTAGCATAACATTTATTTGAAGGAAGGGATGCATAGCTAGTATACTATAAACATATAAAATCACACTTTTGTGTATAAATTGCTTTTCTGACAAAGGTAAAAAGTGAAATGATGTTAATTTCAATTTGTATCAAAACAATTTGTATTTTTCACCTTTTCATTCAGCTTTTATAAAAATAAAAAATAAATTGTGAAATGAAAAGCTTTAGTTTATACACTACATGGAGTTGTTAGCATAAACTTAAATATGCAATTTTTATCATGTACAACAGGTGTTACACAAATAGACAAATAAAAATAATTTAAAACCTTCCTTATAGGCATTTGTAAGGACCTTGATGGCATTATTATCAGTACAGCTTACTAAGAACAGTAACAAGATGTAAAAAGATGTCTGCATTTGAGCTCTATGCCCACATACAGAAAATATAGTTTAAGCATATATAAAATAAAGGTATTACAACTGCTATAGCAATCTTTATCAATCTCTAGAATGGTAATGTAATACTTACACTGAAATGTTTGTCTATTAATTTCTTCCTGACTGTAGGAATGATATGACCCATTTATACTTTCTATACTATTTGTAAGAAGGGAGTGAGCTGACTTTGTCTGCACAATTACAGGCATTCAATTAGTAACCAGTAGCTAGTAGTAGAGAAATTAATTATTTCATAGGCTGGTAATCATTCCTAGAGTATAAATTAGGATGTGTGTAGGCATGCAAGAAGAGTCTCAACCGTGCAGTCAGCCGATTTCCTTTATGGATATGGTGTAGTGCCATACGAGATTGCCATTCAGCTTGCCTGGTACCAATAGCATCAGGTGCGAATTCCACATTCAAAGCTGTTGCCCTCTCTGACCTTTTGTGTGTTCCACATACTTGCCTCGAGGGTAGATGTTGTGGTCACTGTCCTCACCTTCTTTGGTGTAAGTCGGGATCTCTCTCGGGTAGTGTAGGAACCTTGGGTATTGCTGGGAGACTCATGTCACTTAGCTTTCTCCAAAAGGCTTCAAATAGTGCATCCAGCTGCAGTCGTGGTACACACGGCCTCTGCCATTTGGAACTGAGAAATTGCCACCAAGCACCATAGTAAGGTCCGGAGGAGGTAGGAGGCTGAATAATGCTCTCTGCCGATCACAAGATGGAGCCCAGATGTCAGGGCACTACAGGTATCCCCTGCACAGGAGGTGAGTAGCAGGATTCAACCATGGCAGAATAATTGCCCCGAGAGGCGAGCAAATCAAAGGATTCAGTAGGTTGGCAAGGAGCTCTTACAGAATGTGTCCTGCTGCCATGAAAGTCAACCCGGTTTATGAAAGAAAACAAAATTTGGGAAAATTCTGACTTTCTTAAAAGACCACTTTGGGCACCAAAACCAATTACAATTACAATTACTTACATATTGCCAACACAACCCCTGCTCTGTACAATAGGTAAAACAAGACAAATTATTAATTCTAGCAAAACACATTAGACATATGGGAACACTAGGTGAAGCAAGCCTTGCCCAAACAAGCTTACAATCTAAAAGTCTGTGGAATCAAATGATCTGGGTATCTAAAAGGATGGGGAGGGGGTTAAGGAGGATAGAGCACCATAGGTGGGAAACAGCAGAGTAAGGTTGTTAGAGATGATGAGTTAAGGGGCAAGGTACTAGACGTCTCTAAAGAAGTTGTTTTAAGGATTGTTTTGATGGACTGCAGGGAAGGGAAGGTTGAATGTGGCATGGAAAGGCATTCCATAAGGATGGGGCAGCCCTGGATATGTCCTGCATGCAAGGATCTAGAAGGTACCAGAGAGGGATAGTAACAGATTGTTGGCTGGCTGAGAAAAGAGGCATACTTGCTAATGAGGGAGGAGAGATAAGTACGAGCGTAGTTATGGAGAACTTGGCAGGTAAGTTTGGGAACTTTTACCAAATCCTAAAAGAAACATAAAGCTAGTGTAGAGACTGGCAGAGGGTGAGGTTTCAGAGTATATAAGGTAGAATAAAGGTTAGGGAATTTGAGAGGGTTGATACAAAGAAAACACCCACCACAAAGACCCTTAAGTGGAGTGCTGAGTAATACTTACCCCTAAACTTAGAGGTATCCGATAATCCCAAAGGGGTTAAATATGCAAGAACAAAGAGGAACATTTTCCCAGTAGTAGAGTATGTCAAAATATTGTACATAAAAGATACAAATGATAACAATTTACACTCACAAGTGAAGAGCCAAGTGGGGGACTTGCTCAAATCACGTAAGCCTTGGTGTAAAATGGGAGACACCTTCCCTCTTTATTTTCTTTCTTCAAATACATAGAAGAAAACACACAAAGAAAATATCTTCCTGGTGAAGTATGTTAGAGCAGGTTTACACAAGTAAATGTACCAAGTGGTATATTGCTCACCTTTTCCAGAGCCAAAACTGTATACCTGGCTCTGGTTAAAACAGCTTGTTACCCACTGAGGGGGGTACATCTTCTTTCGAGGTAGATGAAGGTAGCAACAGAATTTGGTTAAAAGATCCAATTCCTGTCTGACTCTGTCCTCTCTTGGTTTTCCTCCTATCTCTCCCAACGCTCATTCAGTGTCTCCTTTTCCAAGGATACCTCCTCCCCTCGTCCTGTCTCGGTTGGAGTTCCCTAAGGGTCTGTCCTTGGTCCCCTTCTATTTTCTCTTTATACTGCCTCTCTTGGTGAACTTATTGCCTCTTTTGGATTCCACTACCACCTGTATGCTGATGATACTCAGATATACCTCTCCTCCCCGGACCTCTCCCCTGCCGTCCTGCAACGTGTCACTGCTTGCCTTTCTTCCATCTCTGACTGGATGTCCTCACGCTTTCTAAAACTTAACTTCTCTAAAACTGAACTCCTTGTATTTCCTCCTCCTAATACTGATCCTCCTCTCTCGCTCTCCCTTCAAGTCAGTGATATCCACATAAGTCCATCCCTGCAAGCACGCTGTCTTGGCGTCATACTTGACTCTGGTCTCACCTTTGAGTCTCACATCCAGTTTGTTGCCAAGTCCTGTAGGTTCCAACTCAAAAACACAGCCCGCATCCGCCCCTTTCTTACACAAGATGCTACCAAGGAGCGTGTCCAGGCTCTAGTAATTTCCCGCATGGATTACTGTAACCCTCTCCTGATTGGTCTCCCCAAAAGCCGTATTGCCCCGCTACAGTCTGTAATGAATGCTGCAGCTAGACTGATTTTCCTCTCTAGTCGATCCTCTTACACCTCACCCCTCTGCCAGTCCTTACATTGGCTCCCTGTATGCTATAGGAGTCAATTCAAAGTGCTAACCCATACATTTAAAGCACTGAACAATTCTAGCCCCTCTTATATCTCTTCACTAATCCATAGATATGCCCCTCCTTGTACCCTCCGCTCTGCCCGTGACCACCTCCTGACCGCTGCTCGCACCTGTACGGCCAACTCGCGCTTGCAGGACCTCTCGCGGGTGGCTCCTTTCCTATGGAATAGCTTGCCTACTGCCATCAGACTCTCCCCTAGTCTTCAATCATTTAAGAAGGGCCTTAAAACCCATCTCTTCAGGAAAGCTTATGGCTTCCCAGTGTAATCTCTACCTTACATACCTGTCTCCTGCTCTCTCCTATGGGACAGTGCTTTGCTCTCTCCTCCAGCTCTGCTTCACTCCTACTTGATATTTCCTGTCCTAATGTTTCTAATACCCCACCTCCTATAGTTGTTTGAGCAAGGTCCTCTTCAACCTATTGTTCCTGTAAGTTTTCTTGTTATTGTCCTATTTATTGTTACATCCCCCCTCTCAAAATATTTTAAAGCACTACGGAATCTGTTGGCGCTATATAAATGGCAATAATAATAATAATTGATCAATTTATTACAAAACAATAAAAGTCCTTGTGCTGCAAACTTCTTCGAGACGCGTTTCGCCCTTTCCTCTGGCTTTTTTAATCGAAGTTCATCTCCTCCTTGTTACCTTCATCCTTTTAAATCCCAGGTCTGATATCTCATCCGTTCGGATCCTAATTAACCAATCTGGTCCGCCACTGTCTCTGGCGTCCTGTTCACAGCTGATTGTGCTTGCCTTACTGATTCCCGGAAGTGACGTTGCCTCCATTCATTACTTCAGCTATTCGTTCGTCATTTATCACATTTCAGAATATATAAGTCTAGTTCATTCATTCATTATGGACTTTATAGACGCAACCTGAGTATTTTTCCAGCCAGTAAGCATTGCAGGAAACAAGAGAGCATGGGCAAGCATTTAGCTTGTATTTGGAGTTAGAAAGGGGCAAATGTGACAAATGTTTTTGAGTTGAAAGCAACATGACTTTATGTAAGGGGTAACAAAAAGTAAAGAACATGCCTGCGGGGTAGAGGTTATGATAGCTTCATGCGGTTGACCTGAAAGGAAACAGTGACAGATGAAGTCTTGGAGATAACAAAGACCAGGAGTTTGGTCTTGGAGAGGTTGAGTATTAGGAATCATAAAGTCATTCAGTCAGAGACAAAAGAAAGGCTGCAAGTAACATGAACCACTTCATCGTAATGTAGTAGTTTTGGTGAATCGCTGTTGTCTCTTTTTTTGGTTAAATGACAAATGAGTTTGAGTTTTCTGTATACAACAGCTTTGAAACACAACTCAGTGGTTCAATGGCTTTGCATTACTTCCTGAGGTGTGTTTCAAAGCTGTTGTATACAGCAAACACAAACTCCAAGGAATCCATGTTTAAAATGTAAAAATGGGGCAAAAATGTGATTCCTAATTTGCATATGCCCACCCAGAATCCCTTGCAGCATCACTGCAAGTTTGAGATTTCTATGGGAAAAGCAAGTCTTATGCAGATCCGTGTTTAACAATGTATTGACTGTCCACTGACTTCAGGTGGAAGGGGTTCTCAATCACAATTTCCCCCACTATAACTTTCTTGGTTTATAAATCAAAATGAGACTTAACAGTTAAAAGTTTTTATGTTAGAAATAAACCACTATGTATCAGTCTTAATATACAAGATTAAAAGTTTGTTTGTTTTTTTCTTCTTTTTTTCTTTATTTTTGAATTGGCAATCAGGTGGAGCAACATATAGCACACATTCCATTTTGTACATCAAGCGTTCCAAGGACATAAAGTGAATAATGACATATTGTGCACAGTGTTGCAATTCCTTTCTATAAACAGTTAACATATGCTGCACGCAGACAACACGCACTTTAATGCCACCATACTTCATTACTGCTCTGTCACCCTATTTCCCTATTAAAGGGACACTCCAGGCACCCAGACCACTTCTGCCCATTGGAGTGGTCTGGGTGCCAACTCCCAGTACCCTTAACCCTGCAACTGTAATTATTGCAGTTTTCATAAACTGCAATAATTACTTTGCAGGGTGAAGTCTTCCCCTAGTGGCTGTCTACTAGACTGCCACTAGAGGGCACTTCCTGGTCCATAGCACAGGTTTTCTGTGCTATAGAGTCGCTGGACGTCCTCACGCTGTGTGAGGACCTACAGCGTCGCTAAAATCCCCATAGGAAAGCATTGAAAAGCATTTTCAATGCTTTCCTATGAAGAGGTCTTTTCACCCCTTCAGGAAGCAGGCATGGGAGGTGGGAGGGAGAGGGGACGGATTGTTTTCCTGGCACTGGAGTGTGCCTTTAACTTTACCCTTTTTTTTTTTTCTAATTCTCTAAATAGACTTTAGACTGTGAGAGGTACATAAAAAAGTTAAACGTTGTCTTAACATCGCATTACTAAATGACGCTACTCCGATCTTCTAACATTTGATTGGAATATAGATGTGAGTTCGTCTCCCGGTAGTTTTATGTGTCCTTTGCATTCGGAGAGGATTAAGGATTGTAATTGTAAATTACGCATTTGCACAATCGCAGAAGTGTGTTGTTCATTTAATTGCAGTAGATTGGGCAGTACCCTAGAGATTAAATGATTTAAGGATAACTGAGACAGTCAACGTATCTGTTATTAATTGGATGTATGTGTCCACTCTTTAAGGGTGTGTCTAATGTAAAACGTTCCTGCAAGGGGGTTACAGAAATTGGAGGATGAGTATACAAGAGAAGAGAAAAGGGAGAGTGCAGCAAGAAGACAGAACAGAAGGTAGGGGAGGAGGAGGAGGAACACTAGAGGGCAGGTGAAAGGCCAGGCATCACTGGCTGAGTACGCCAGAGAGCACCCCAGTGCCCCGAGGACAAGTGCCTGCCCCCAAGGGTGGCGGAGGCAGCAGGTGGGGGGGGGGGGGTGGTCAGTGAGCTCCAGTGGGCTGGGAAATAAGTAGGCTCCCCGAGAGCCTTCCAAGCGTCATAGTTCTGTTATTCAGAATCTATATAGTTCTCCCAGGGTTCCCATATCTTTTTAAAGGCTGTTGTGGTCCCCCTTACTTGCGCTGTCAGTTTATCCATGAGATAATTATCTTTAAGATAAGGAGTACCATATCTATGGGGGGTATAGCAGGTCGAAGCCAAGTTTCTGCTAAAGCTCTTCTGGTGCCAGATTTTATGGAGAAGTGCTTGTTCAGCTCAAGTCCAGCCATCTATTGGCCTGGAAAGTAGGAAAACCCAGGGATCCGGGTCTAAGTGTCTGTGTACGATTTGGAAAGCGAGTGCGCTCACCTTTCTCCAGAAATCTTGCACCAGTGGACAGCTCCACCACATGTGGTTGTACGTTCCATTGATCCCACAGAGTCTCCAACAGAGATCAATTGGGGCC